GGGTGATGACCCTTACGTGGCCCCACGATCGATGGTACACGAGCGTGATTTGTCGCCCGTCCCCTGCATTCCACAGTTTGGGTTGGTTAAGGAGGAAAGTGCACAATCTTACCCATTTCTGTGAGGCACCAGGTGGACAGACTGTCTAGAAGGCGAAAAGAAGTGAGTAGGCAATGCAGTCGACTGGTAGGAGTTCAGTCAAATTACATACTACAAAGCAAGAACTCGGCGCAACTTGTCCGTCTTCGCTTTCAGGAAGAGAAATGGAGGAAGACGAGGAGGAGGCGGTGGTGTGAGACAAACTTCAGCATGAGATAGAAAGAAGGTGGGGCAAGTATAAAAGGACTAAGTTATGCCGAAGCTGGAGGAGGTGACATCTGCAAAACCGAATTTAAGCCCAACACTAACGCAGATTCGTTCCATACATTTACAATTCCATATGTTGTGCTTTAGGCGAGAGAATGGATGGTTGCCACGATGAGTGACAGCCAGGTGTCATCACCACGAAGGACGTGCAATCGACTTCCCTTAATACCACTGACTTCATTCCAATGTCATTGTCACTTGCTGTGCTTCAAGTACTCAGGATGCCTCTAACCCATCACACCATCCCGAGGCCACGCATTCAGTCCCACTGTCGTCTTCCATGTGGACAGACGACATAGTTACGGGCTCACACTCAGTGGGTACTGCAGTCAGTGGAGGAGGTGGAAGAGCACAGCTATTGTTCAACCTTTGGCGTCTTACTCAGATGACGCGAGATGGTAGAAGCCGACTCACCATTGGTCGCATTCAAATAGCGAGAGAGACCATTGCACATCCTGTCGTGCATTCTTTGAGGCAATGCGAAGGTCCAAATGGTTCTCAATGCTGATCTTTGAGGTGAGTCCACAGTAGAAGGAGGAGGGTGAAGGAATTGGCAGTGGCGATTGGATTTACCAGGCAAACCGTTCCACCTTGGAGGAGTTGATCGTCCCTTTGGATAGGCAGACAATTTAAGG